AGAATTATCATCATTCCTTGATTTTGATCGGTCATGTGGTTGTACCGATAGTAGTAATTGTACTGTTTGTGCAGAGATAGCGGTGTGCTGTTCTGATGTTAATCATGCATTGAATGATGATTTGCACAGTGATTCTGCATTGAAGTTGAATTCTGAGTTGCCTGTTGAAACTATTGATGATTCTTTTTCTGAGAATTTGATTGCAGGCATAGATGTTAATGTGTTTTCTGTAGAACTTGCACCCGCTAGACTTCTCACATCCACTGAGCAGCCACCTAAGTTGGAACTAAAGGTTCTGCCTGACCATTTGAAGTATTCATATCTGGAGGAAAATGAGCAGTTACATGTGATAGTGGCCAAGAACCTTCTACCTGAGCAGGAGGTAAAGCTTTTGACATTGCTGAAAGAAAATAAGAAGGCAATTGGATGGACTTTAGCAGATAATGTGGAAATCAGCCCTTCCATGTGCATGCACCGCATTTTGCTTGAAGAAAGTGTTAAACTAGTGAGGAAGAAATCAAGCTACTTGATGCTGTTTATTCTCCTTAGGGAGTTCTCTTCCCTCTTTTTCTTTTCTTTCTGTTATTTGCATTTTTATTTTTCTTTTCCTTTCTTTCTTTTAGTTTTTGACTTTCATAGGTAGATTTTTCTCTTCTTTCTGGTAATTATTGAGTGGTACATGAAGTAGACTTGGATCACAGTGTTTGATAGCATAGTCTGTTTTGAGCCTGTAGACATGGTCTTCATCTGTAGGCCAATCTTTCTTTCTTGTGTGATTCGGCTCTTGATTGTTGTCCTCTAGAACTTACTCTTGTTCTTTTTGAAACTGCATTTTTCACTTGCATGCATGAATATGATTGAGGCATTCTTTCTTTTCTTTCCCACTTTAGCCAAATACCATCCTTGCATTGTATTCCCTTGGTTAGCCCTTTTGTGCCTTACGTCACCTTTGTTTCTTAGCCACATTACAAGCCTAAGTGAAAAATCAATTAATTCCACATCCTGGAGATTAACTGAGCATTGGTTTTACTATAGAGTTTTGTTTAAGTGTGGGGGTTTGCCCGAGACGTGCAAAGTTTAAGTGTGGGGGTAACCATCTGGATATTTTGTCTGTATTATTGTTTCTAAAAAAAAAAAAAATAAAAACAAAAAAAAGAAAGAGAAAAAGCAAAAAGAAAAAAAATTATGTTTATTTCTATATTTTCATTATCTTGTTTTATGTTCTTAGTTTAGTTCTTAACTTTTGCTCTTTGTAAATTTCTGGGGTGTTTAGCTTTCTCTTCCATATTCATCCATACCTTTACCTCAGCTCCATTACAACCCTACATAAAGCCCTCTTGATTTGTGCATGCATGTGTTATTAGCAGTGGAGAAGTAGAACTTGAGCAAGCCTATTGTAGGATGATTATCTTGAGTTAATTTGAGTGATATACTGAATTAACTGATACACTTGAAAGAAAATTGAGAGCAGAGCATCCTGTGAGGAACCATTTTTGTGTAGTTAGCAGTTGCAGTTGAAATTGACAGGTCTTGTGATTTGAGTTTAGAGAAATTTTGTCCTGGTTGATTTATCTGTTCAAGACTTGTGATTTTTGTTATCTTTTGTATACTTGCTAATTATTAGGAAGGATAGATTGATCTTCACTCTTTTCTTATTTCTTTGCTTTCTTTTTCTATTCTAGTTTTTGTCCCGGAGTGCAAAAAGATAAGTGTGGGGGAATTTGATAACTCATATTTTATTACACTTATTTGTTACTCTTGATTAGTATTTTTAGGATTTATTTGAATAAAATAATGATCTTTTGAGTTAATTTAGATTTTTAGTTTTTGATTGGGTTTAATTTATTTTCGTCAGAATTTTTCAGCTTTACGTTACTTCTGTATTTTGGCAATATCTCGGTCCACAGTTGTCGGATTGACTCTGTTCTTGTTGGGTTTTTCAGATAACACAGAGGGCTACAATCCTTATGCAGAGCTTGAAGCCCAAGTCGGACTGGAAGGTGTTCTATTTCTTACGCCAAGTTGGACGCATTTTGCTGAATTTTTATTTTATTATTGGACTTGTAATTTAGATTAAAACCCAATTGCTTAAGTGGCCCAAAGCCAAGTTTTAGTTTTAGTTTATTTTATTTATTTTATTTCGTATTTTAGAAAGATGGGCCGATCAGAACTGAACCCTAACCCGCTTTGGGTAGGGGTCTATGACGGCAGAGTAGGAAACATTTTATTCATTCTGTAATTTTCGCATTTTGGGATCAAAGCACTTTCTCTGAAGCGTTCTTCGCGTTCTTCATCTTTTTCTTCTTCTTTTCATTTTATTTTAATTTTTAATCATGTTTACCTTAGCTATGCGAGGCTAAGAACCTTTTAATCAACCTAAGGGCAACGGATTCCATGGATTAGTCTTGAGGGTATGCGCTTTATTTTAAATCAATTTTGTTTCCCTTCCAAACTCAGATTGATATCGTGCGATCGTGGATATTCAATCTGAGGTTCGCGATTGCGATTATGGAAAAGGATTAATCATCAGATTTGATGATTAGATTGATTGACCCTATGACCTTAAATCAAACGGGCTGATACTCTGCGATTGTATAAGTTGAAGCACCGTATTTGATCAAATGCTAAGCGATCGCTTAGAGAGGGTCGTCAATTAGAAATAAGGATTCTGATTCAATTGAAAATCAATCACGATTCTGATATCTTTTTATCCGAGGAAAGACGTCCATGGAACCCTAACCTTAGGTTGGTTAATTTTAAATTACGAATTTTAACTCCAATTTTATATTCTGCCTTTTTAATTATTCAACTAAAATCCAAAACCCCATTTTAATTTTCTGTCATCATAAGCGATTTTTACCAAAACAATTTCCTTGAGAGACGACTTAGGGTTTCCACTTTACTGCAAATTTTCTGAACCCTAATTAAAAAATAATTTTTAATTTGCGCGAGTTCGACAGCTCGTGTGAATGCATCACTGAAAATATTATCACATCATTTCTAAAGACCACGGCGGATCCAAATGTATGTTATTTTTTATTTAACATTTCTTCACTTTTGAATTGTCTTTGGAGCTTTCGTGCGTTTTGACTTAGTTTTATTTACAAAAAAAAGAATTCAGGATGATTATGTATTTGACAATGCTTGTGATGACAATATTGTATCGGTAGGGTCAGCAAAAGCTATGGTGAGTTAGAATTATTAACAAAATTTTAGAATTGATTATTGTATAATTCTATTCCAAAACGTATGTTAATTACTTATAAAATGGTTTCGTTGACAGGATGTTCAGAGCCAAACCTGTGAGAGTACTGGTGATGCTGATATTTCTCTGTCTCTATTGACACCGTCTATAAAGTATAGTGATGTTGTTGAAGACAAAAATAATTGTTCAGTTGTCCGTCCTCTTAAAAAGATTAAGTTGGAGAAAGAGTTAAGTTTTTACTGCCAATTTTACTGTTGAACTGTATTTTGGTAGAGGTGTTGGACTTACGAACTTTACAAATTTTATAACTTTACATGCTCACTCTGTCTCCTCTGTTGTTTATTTTTTGTACAGTTTTGATGCTGAAGCCAGTCACACCTTGCAGCAGACAAAAAATTTGTAACTATTAAACATTTGCTGCCTGTTTCATTGGAACTATGTTTTAGTTTAATTGTTGTATTGATGTATGAACTTTTTGCTCATTATATTACCTTTTGTCATGTGTTTAACATTGATCGTGTATCCACCTGTCGTTTTTTGTTTACGTATAGTTTTGAATGTTTTGTTATCAACATTGTTTCTTCGTTTTGCAACATCTTCCCGTGACTTTAGTAATACGTTTTTCACTGTTGGAGGTAATAAAATATCAGGACGTGTTATGAAATTTATTTTGTAGTTTCAAATAGTCCTTTGCAGACACATTTAATTCAATGTTTGCCACAATTTTCGTTAGGGATGACGTTTTGTATGCAATTCTTCTTACTGCTCCCTTGAATTTCGAATTAATCTGTTAGAGATTTGAAATTGAAAAATAAATATGACAACACAAACGGTTTGGGTGGGCTATATTAGTTCATTCAATAAATGGGTTTCCCAAACGTTGCACGTGTTGATCGATTGAGGGTTCGTGAGGTTATAAATATGCAAAAGTTGGGTTATTTGTTTTTCAGTTGTGTTCCTTAATCATCCTTCTTTTGTGAAAGCTTCAAAATTGTTGATTCTTTGCTGTAACTTCTGTCAATGGCTGAAGCATCATATCCAAAACGTTCAGAAATAGACAAAGAGGCAGATGGATATCTGACAAGTAGATTAATATCTATGCTTTGTCGTCAGGTGGATTAATACTGTAATGTTTTTATGGTTTATTGTGTTCATGGTTTTGTTTATGTCATTGTTTGTAATATCTTTTGTTCACTTTTAGAGTTTTCTGGGTGTTCATATTTCTTCTGTTTTATTTATCTTTAAAAAATAGAAAATGGTAGTTTCAAGTTTCAGCTGTATCAACATCGTGTCAGTATTTGCCCATGCACAGACAGTTGCTTTTGAGGAGTTTTCCTGTTCATTTTTCGCATGCAATGGTTGAAATATATGCAAATGCCGGCTATGCTGATGAAGAGGGTTTCAGTGTCTAAAACATCATCATTATTGCAGTGTAACAATATTAATTATAGCATTGGAAACTAAAAGACCATGAGTAATACTCTTTAACTTGACTGCGGATGGGATTATTATGAATGATGGTGATACCAGTGTTGAAAAAACCGGACCGGCCCGGCCGGGTCAACCAGGAAACCAGTAAATCGATCTTGTGGCCGGTCCGATTTTTATGTTGGATCGGTCAAGTGTGCGACCCGGTGTAACCCGGTGTGATCCGGCCGGTTTTTGCAAAAACCAGTGACTCGGGCGATTTTAATTTGAACCGGTGGATCATGCATATTCATTTAAAAAAAAGAAGAAGAAGAAGAAATAAATGACTTCGCGAGGAGAAAAGAAGCGTAGATCTGAAATTTGAACCATGAAAACGGATGAAGGATGGATTATTTTCATCACGGGTATGCATGAGGAAGCGCAAAAGGATGATTTGCAAACTGCATTTCATGAATATGGAGAGAAAACTGCATTTCAGGATAATTTGAACCTCGATAGTCGCACTAGTTGTGTCAAAAGTAAATGACAAACCCTCTTTCCATTCCTATTATATTTTTTGTACAAAGAGAACTTTCTGTAGATGTGATTTGTGTTTTATGGAAAAGCAATCTTGATTGTTGATTACAAAATCATCGACGGTGTGTAATTCACAATCCACGTCGTCCAATTTGGTGGATGCAGTAATCCTCCAATGGCTTATATATTACAAATCGATGACATGGCGTGGTTGGGGTTACAAATGGATTACTAATGGATGCTGTAATCAAGAATTAGGAAGGGCTGTGTTTATCAATTATTAATGATTGGGCTATTTTAAATAAAAATAATCCAATAAATCTATATATAAGGTAATATTCTTTAATATCAAATTTTAACAATTGATCTGGACAATTATATATAATTTATTATTTTTTATATTAGAATATTTGGAACTTGTATCATTTTTTACAGGTATTTGAATATATTTATATATTTTTTAACATAAATTATTTATTTATATATACATATCGGGTCATGCGGTTCAATCAGTGATCCACTGGTTGAACCAGTGACCCAATAACCCAGTAACTCGACCGGGTCGAAGACCGGACCGAGTTTAATAACATTGGGTGATACATTGGTTTACGAAAGGTGGTTCTTTCCTTAAAAAACTAATAAACGGCACGGCTAATAATATCATTTGCATACCATATATGTCTGCGACGTATAAGAAGATACAAAATACGAAGAGTTTGTTTCATCAATGGGAGTTCTGAAACAGTACAAATAAAACCTTTTCAAAATTATATGTGAGGACATAATTAAAAAAAACATATTAATAAGAATTTTAAATTACCAATATTAGACAAAATAAGTTATGAGCAATGAATTAAAATTGCTACAATGTTTTTCCTTTATATCAACGTACGTGTCATATTTACCTTGCTACAGTAGTGGAAATCTCTAACTATTGATTAATTTGTGCTTTGAAAAAAATAAAAGCAAAATTAATTATGTCATGTTGGGATTTAAGATGATCATTTATTATTTTTTACAATTCTTAATTTTTACAATAATTTTGTTGTCATATTTACTGTGCTACAGAAGTCGAAATCTCTAACTATTCATTAATTAATGCTTTGAAAAAATAATGGACAAATTAATTATGTCATGTTGGGTTTTAAGATGATCAATTATTATTTTTTACAATTCTTAACTTTTACAATAATGTTGTTGTTATATTTTGCAGTAAAACGTTTTCTTAATGTAACTATAGTATTTTTCCAATAGCGAATATGAATTGTTTTTCCAATTTTTTTTGTGTTAACTTCTCAAATGCTTCAAAAACTAAGTTCATGCAACTAATAACTAATGAAGAGTTACCAAACACAAGGTCCACTTTCTTTAGGATGAACTACAGGCTTTGTTTGGACTGACACAGTAACTAATCCTTGGCTGTTACGCTGATATCTCATCCAGTCTCCCACCCAAATCATCTGATATGTTTGCTTATTTTATTTGCTCACCATAATGAGTAATCCTCTATCAGAAATCAAAACACCTTCGCGAAAGAGAAGACCCAGACATGAAATGTTTCCGTTGATAGGTACGGCAAAAATAATATGCTTCATTTACTTCGTTTACATATATTTCCATCTGATAAGCGTTATGATTACCATGTAGAAAATCTTGCTGCATGTTCTGCTTCTCCCGTTGGCAGGTAAGTTCTCTTTGCCATTTTTTTATGCACTGCACAGTGATAATATTATCTCCATAAGTTTTATTATTATTTTCCATTTTAATTTTGTTTTTTTTTTTACCATTTAGCATTTCACAACTAACAAACATGGGGAATGAGTTGAGTGGCAGTAGACAGTGTCTTTGTGATATTTCTAATGGTAATGAGTTATGTTCTCTGATTATATTTACCATACTTTACTGCTGAGTTTGTTATGCACCATTACAGTAAGGAGAGTTTTGTTTACCATCATTGTCCCTTTTTATGAGCAGAGAGTTCTTCGAGAAATAAAAAAAGACAAGTTGTTTGAATAAGTCCTTATGTAATTCCACCCCAACGGATTGTATTGCAAATTTTCTGTCAATAGGTATGACCAAATTATTAATTTTGCATGATATTCAAATGTGAAGTTGTTATTGCTCGATGAACTTTTTTTTTTGTTTCTGATTGTTAACATTCATATTGTCAAGAAAATATTTCTCTGTGTTCTGCCTCCAATGTTGGAACTTAAGTCTTCTCTTTCATATCTTAATTTACAAAAAAAAATTATCATCTTTTTATTTGTAGTTATTGTACATCATCATGCAAATTTCCTTTTTGTTGTTTTCAAAAAGTAGCCTTTCTGAATTAACCAATGTGCAGAATGGTGGAACCAGTTGTACACAGCCTCTTTGTGATATTTCTAATGGTCTGCAAATTTGTTCTTTGACTTTGTCTATGAATTTTGTCAGATTACTTCCTAATAAAACATGACAAGCGAAGTTCGTTTTTTGTTATTAACGTGAAAATAGCCCTTATGTTCTAAATTTTGTGTAGATAACCTTTCGCCGTGCTCGAACCCAATTGCGGAAGTAGTTAATAATTCGATTCCATCTGAAGGTATGTTAAATATCACCATCCTTTTAGGTTTTCAAGATATGGTCTTATATAATTAGATGATAAAATATTGTACTTTGTTATGATTATAATACTATAATTCGTATTTTTTTTTAGATAGCAAAAATGCTAGGAAGATACGCAAAAGTATCATTGGTCAGAGGAAGAATGCAAAGAAATTTACACACACTCTCAATATTAGTAGAATGCCCAATTTAACAGGTTATTTGACCTGTTACGTAACCTGTCACCGCGTAATTACTACCCGGTTATGGTCTTCAATGTCTTAGAATATCATTGGCAGAATTAGAATATTAAATGAATTATTCGATGGTTATGTTTATTTTTTTCTAGTTTTATACTTAATGATTTTTCCAAATCGTATTTTTTATGTTTAATTAGGAATTGATCCTGACGAGACGATCACCGTGCGTCCAACTGTTGCTGTGTTATCTAAAGAGAAATCCGTGTCAGGGTTGGATTGTTGTCCGAGTAGTACTTCAACTCATGTCAGTCAACAAAGTAAGTTCACCTGTGTGGATTGTATATTATTTAGCCAAATGTTTTTTACTTATGTTTGTGGAATAATGGTATTTTTTCACTGATGTTTTATTAATTCTTTTACTCTTTCCTTTTCGTTACAGATAACAATTCAAGTTATCACACTGTGTCTGACATCGCCTCTGTCAGCGAAGGTTATTGTTTAACTTAAATTTAAATTTTTTACTACAAATTATAATTATCTATGCAATATGAATTTGTGCTATTTCGATATATTTAGATTATTGGGACGTAGGGGATCCTACTTTTATCTGTGGGCGTTGTGGAGCAAATATGTGGTATGAAGAAAGACTTAAAAAGGATCGAAAATCATGCATGCCAGAGTTTGGTTTGTGCTGCAGCAATGGAAAGGTTCAACTTCCTTTGTTAAAAATGCCTCCAAATACATTGCTTCAACTGCATGATAATTCAATTATAAGGAGCCAACATTTTTTACGATATATTCGAACGTACAACATGATTTTTTCCTTCACCTCCTTCGGTGCAAGAGTTGATGGATCGGTTAATGAAGGTTCTGGACCTTACTGTTTTAGAGTTGGAGGACAAGTTCATCATTTAATAGGCAGCCTTATTCCGCCTGATAGTCAGTCTCCAAAATTCGCTCAGCTTTATATATATGATACTGAGAATGAAATTGACAACAGATTGGGTTTTCTAAGGTATTACTCTAAATCTTATTTTCGTGTTATTTGTTTGTGGATTGTATTATATGTGTTATTATAATTAATTGACTGATGAGTCCATTGTATTAAAAATGCAGTCCTGCAAACAATGAAGACATCCTCGATCCCGATATTGTCAAGTCTTTGAAGGAAATATTAGATAAGCCCAACAGTATTGCCCAATCTTTTCAGTACGCTAGAGACCGTTATAAGGAAGATAGCTTCAACGGTGTGAAGTTGAGGCTTATTCGGAAGCATGGCAGTGATGGAAGAGTTTATAATCTTCCCTCTGCATCTGAAGTTGCTGCTTTGATTGTTGGAGATATAGACAACGCCATGGGTGACAGAGACATCATTGTGGAGACACAAACCGGACTTTTGCAGCACATTGATGTGAAGCATCCCCTATATCTTGGCTTACAATATCCTTTGTTATTTCCTTATGGAGAGGATGGTTATCGCGATGATGTCCAACGTACTTCCACTTCCAGAGGTAGTACAAACCCAAGGTCAACTATCAGCATGAAAGAATTCTTTTCATTTAGACTTCAAATTAGATCAGGGGAATCCCAAGTTCTTCATCACTCAAGAAAACTTTTCCAGCAATTTCTGGTTGATGCTTATACTATGGTTGAGTATGACCGTCTTAATTTCATCCGCCATAATCAAAATCAACTCAGGGAAGAGTTGTACAAAAATATTATACATGCATGGAATCAAGGTGAAGATGCAGCAGCTAGAACTGGAAAGCGTATTATTATCCCTTCTTCATTCACAGGCGGACCAAGATATATGGCTGAGAATTGTAAAGATGCTTTTGCAATTTGCCGTTGGGCTGGATATCCTCATATTTTTATAACAATTACCTACAATCCTAAATGGCCAGAAATTACACGGTTTCTTAAGGCCAGAAACTTGAACCCTGAAGATCGTCCTGATATTCTTTGCAGAGTGTTCAAATTCAAATTAGACCAATTGCTCCATGATTTAAAAAAGGAACATGTTCTTGGCAGAGTTAATGCATGTAAGTATTTGTAAAATTATTTTTCAGGAACTTTACTTGAACCCAAAAAAACTCTATCTATCACTGTATTATTTTCTTCTTATTACTTCTGTGCTTTTATTTCAATGTAACAGATGTTTGCACAATTGAATTTCAAAAACGTGGACTTCCTCATGCTTATATTCTATTGTTCTTACACCCTTCTAACAAGCCTGATAGTGGACTAGATATTGATAAATTGATTTCAGCAGAAATTCCTAACAGGGAAACTCATCCTGCTCTTTTTGTTGCTGTCATAAGTTACATGATGCATGGTCCCTGTGGTCCTAACAATTACAAGTCACCTTGCATGAAGGAAGGAAAGTGTTCAAAAAATTTCCCAAGGGTTTTTGTTCCCGTACAATTATCGACGATGACGGATTTCATCATTACAAGAGAAGAGATTATGGGATAGTTGTAATGAAAAATGGCGTTGAGCTTGATAATCGTTTTGTTGTGCCTTATAATGCAAAACTCTTTTTAAAGTATCAGGCTCATATAAATGTTGAATATACCTGTCAGAGTAGTGCTATTAAATATCTTTTTAAATACATTCATAAAGGAAATGATAGAGTTACTACTGCTATACATCATTCAGAGAATGAAATTAAAATGTTTTATGACTGCAGGTAATGGAATTAATCTCCATTAGCTTTTGACGTCCTAAATATGTATTATTTGACTAATAAAGCATGTTTGACATCGTACTTATTTATGTCAGGTATGTATCCGCATGTGAAGCTGCTTGGAGAATATTTGGATTCAAAATCCATTACAGAAACCCTCATGTGATGAGATTGCCATGTCACTTACCCGATGAAAAAACCGTTGTTTTTCGTGATAGTTCTTCAATATCTGAAGTAAAGACAAGAGAGGAGACCAGACGATCAATTTTTCAGGTTTGGATGGATGCAAATATAAAATTTCCAGAAGGGAGGCATCTTACATATGCCGAATATCCAACTCATTTTGTTTATAATGCAGATAGTCAAGAATGGCATACTAGAAAAAAAGGATTTTCAATTGGAAGAATAAATCGTTTTTCTTCCAATAGTGGAGAAGATTCCTATCTTCGAATGCTTCTTAGTTTTAAAAAGGGTTGCACAAATCATGATGACCTGAGAACTATAAATGGGGTGCTCTTTCCTACATTTAAGGATACCTGCTATTCTCTTGGACTTTTGGATGATGATAATGAGTACATTGATGCAATTAAGGAAGCAAGTTCTTGGCAGTCAGCGGTTTATCTAAGACGTCTATTTGATCTATTGTTATTTGGTAACTCAATGAATAGACCTGAAAATGTCTGGGTAAAGTGTTGGCAATTTCTGTCTGACGATGTTCTTTATCGACATAGGAAAATGATAGGACGTCCAGGTATTCATTATCCATATATTACATGCATTATAATGAGTTTTTTTATTTATTTATTACTTTATTGTCTAATTCTCAATTCCAACCGACATAAAAAAATTTAAAAACATACGACATAAGACTTGCTGAAGAGCAAATAAAACTGTCATACCAATTGTTATTTTTTAATTGTATTTGACGTTTGTACAGATGCAATTCTTACAGAAGAGCAAATAAAAAACATAACACTTGCTGAAATTGATAAAGTGCTACAAAGTAATGGAAAATGCCTTTTTGATTACCCTTCAATGCCCCGTATCATTGGTCACTCTTTGCTTGATAGAGTCAAACAACACATCAACAACTGATGAACCAATCGTAACCGTACCTCTGACAAGGTTCGGAGCTCGATCCGACTGCTGACGATCCAGAGTATAAACTCTCCCAGAAGATGGTGGCACTACCGGTGCCGAAGTAGGTGGAAAGGGAACCATCTGAAGTGGCACTGCCTGCACTGCAGCAGCCCTTGCTGTCGCTGACGGACAGTCTCTGGAGAAGTGGCCCTCCTTGCCACACTGAAAGCAAATCAACTGGCCGGTAGAGCACGGCCCAAAATGAGTCTTCCCGCATCCCGAACACCTGGGAGCAGGAGGTCTCGCTGCACTCCCCTGAACAGAAGTCCTCTTGAACTGACTCGGCGCTTGCCGAGCTGCCAACTGTTTACCCTTGTTCTTGTTCCCAAACTTCCTGTCTCGCCAAGAAGTGGAACTACCAGCTGCAACCTTCGTCGCCTCAGCAACCTTGGCCTTCTTGGCCTTACTCGAGCTGTAGTAATCTTCAATATCACGACACTGCTGAACCAGTGTTCCAAAATCTCTAGAAGCAGAACCAGCTAGGTAACCAGCAATATCCTCACTAAGTCCCCTGCGGAACTTAGCAGCCATAAATGTAGGAGTAGGCCTCGCCATCCTGAAGTGTGCAAACTTCACCAACTGGTTGAACTTGGCCAGGTACTCGTCCACAGACAACGAGCCCTGCACCAATCTGTCGAACTCTCCCTGCTGCCTCTCCTGAGCGTCATATGGAAAGTACTGACCCAAGAAGAAGTCCTCAAACATAGGCCAAGTCATCACATGACCCTGCATCTCGTAGACATGAGAAAGGTTTGTCCACCACTCATGGGCATCGCCGTCCAGCATGTAAGTAGCGAACATCAACTTCTGCGGATCTGTGCACTGCATTACCCGAAAAATCTTGTCCAACGCCTGAAGCCAACGTGCCGCAGAAACAGGATCAAAAGATCCATCAAAGGCAGGTGGCTTATGCTTACGGAAAGCATTCAGCCGGCGATCGATCTCCTCACGATCCTCAACAAAAACAGGGACGGTCTGCATGGCCCCCGTAAGATGACTGCCATCTCCCATCTGACTCTGAGAGTCATCCTGCAGACTGGGTGGAGGTGGAGGTGGTGGTGGTGGTGGCGGTTGAGGTGGTGGCGGTGGAGCATGACCAACATCAGGGCCATTCCTCATCTCCTCTAACATGACTCTAAACATCGTCATGTTCGCCAGACGGTTGGCCTCCAACACGTCTTCAATGGCCTTCCTGTTCGCCTCTCTAACGGCGTCCAGCATGGCCTGGTTTGCCATTCTCATGGCCTCCTGGTCGGCTAGTCGGGCCGCCTGCATCTCCGCTAATGCAGCCAGGACAGGATCGGGCCGATCCTCCGAAGTCTCGCGGTTTCTCTCGGGTCTTACCATGATTCTGCACAAGTTACACAAATTATGAGTTGATCAGGCCCACGCAATATGGTCACATATGCATTATCATAATAATACTCGACGGAGCAAACACACAAAACAGACACAACCAAACATCCTAATCATTGCAATACATACAGGTTTTTCCCTTGAACCGTTGCTCTGATACCATAAAATGTAACACCCCGTCTATACCCGGAATATTAACATTACATCGTATTAAGCGGTGCTTAATTAAAAATGCGGAATATTCTTTTTCTTTTCAATTATGACATCATTATCAATTACCAGCTTGATTACTTAATCAATTTCATAAAATATCGCCTGTATGTAAATTGCAATAAGACATCTACTGAAATATCTCAATATATAGATAAAGTGTGTATCTAAATCACGGCATTACATCAAGTAATCCGGACAATATCCTGGTACATTATTACAACTCCAAAAGACTCAAGACATAACCAAGACATAATAATACTATGTGTCATGGACAATCCCCATGCTCACCAAATAAACATAGTAAACAACAAGTCTCAACATAAAACTCCATAAACATAAACTGAAGCTATAAGCATAAGCAGCATGCAAATCCAGCATCTAATCATGGCAGCATAATATAACAGCAATCTAACTCAGCTCCGGCCTCCTGCCGCCTGAGGTCTCAACATTACCTGACCCTGAAATAAGCATTCCCCAAACGTGGGGTGAGATCTCTAAACTAGAAATCTCAGTAAGACAAGGGGTCCTCAAGGATCTTCCACCCCAATCTCACTTGCATGTGCAATATAAGTTCAAAAAACATTTATATCATTATCAGTTCCAAAACTATGTAGTGCAACAGATATCTATGGCATGTGTGTAATCACTATCTACTGGCCAGAGAAATGTAGGAATACATCTATTCCCTACATGTAGTATAAGGAACACCGCTTGCACCTCACCCACAGCCTCACCCTATTGTATGTTCTACATACTCAAGCTTACCGTATAGGTGGAACACCTCCATGCATATCAACAAGGCACTAACATACAATAGCTCAACAACATTTCCAAAACATCAAAAGCATGTAACACAGCATGCATATACCATATCCCCATGGGACATGGTGGAACCACAACATGGCTAAATCGAGGACACGAAAGCTTACCTCTAAGCTAGCTATCCAAAGCCACAAGCTCAAAGTCCAATCACAACAGATCACAATCTGATATGGATCAAATATAAATCAATAAACATGTACCACATGCATACAATTAAAGACAACATCTTTTCATTATGTTTTCAAGTCTTAAAGCTTCTAACAAAGGCACAAGTCATTAATCCCATGATTCTGGCTTAGTTCATTAATTACAGAAGTTCAACTTCATCAATCTAGGGTCTACAAACCCCCAATAGCCTACTGTATGCACAGCACAACTACTGTTCTGCGAAATCCCAGAATATCCGAATATTCCTCGGGACCATATCCGGATATTTAATATCCGGATATCTCACTGTACATATCCGGATATGCAATATCCGGATATCCAGAATCCCATATCCGAATATACAATATCCAGATATCCCAAAACCCCATATCCGAATACATATATCCGGATATCATATCCGGATATCCAATATCCGGATATTCCACGGGAAGATATCCAGATATTTCACGACAGAATGCAGTTTCTGCATTTTCGTGAAGATATCCCAAAAAGGTTCCCTTTTACCGATTTTAAACACCTAATCATGCATTTCTAGGTGTGTTAAGCCTTACCCAACAACAAGTTATCATCTTTTAACCTTAACATGCATCAAGCTTCAATTTTTAAGCCTTAAAACTCAAGTTAAAGGTTGGTACAACATACCAAGGCTCAAAACTCAGAATGGAGGTGCTCTTGGAGCTCAACACAACCCCTCAAGTCTGACTCAAGGAAGATGCACGAAAATGAACAAGAAGGTAGGTCTTTCACTCAACAAGAAAGCATCTTGGAGCATCAAAATACCAACAAAAGGTCACACCCCTCAAGAACAGCAAACACAGCTCTTTAAACTCCCTCACACAGGTTCTCTAACTCAGAAACAGCACCCCAATGCAGTCCCAAGACCAATCTTCACCCTTACCAAGTGTTTGAATGGAAGAACAAGCCTCAAAGGTGAAAGCTTGCTCATGAAATGGAAGGGAAGGCAATGGAACAGTGTATAAGGTGCAAGTCAGCCACCAAGTCACGTAGACAAGTCTGAGTGCCTAGGGTTTAGGGCCAAGAGTGCCTATTTATAGAGATTTATCACATAAACGCACAGTATTAACTTAAA